AAGGAACATTTTTTAAACTTCATACTGCCAAGTGTTGTCTTATAAATGCCTCTCATTTTTTCACATATGTGAAAGAGAAAAGAGTAGACATGGCCAAGGGTCACCCGGTCCGGCGACCCGGCCCTGACCCGGCCCGGTCAAACCCGTTGATCATGGGTCTAGGACCGGCCTGGATTTCAGATGGGCCGTGTAAGGGTCATCTATTTCCTGACTCGGCCTGGAGGGTCAGGGCCGGGCCGGGTCGACGACCCTTCTTTTTAATTTTTTTTATTTTTTTCTATTGTTCACGGACCCGGCCCGGCCCGGACACAGACCCAGCACGAGTATAGGTCCGTGCCGGTTCAGGGTCAGTGTTTTCGAGCCCGGCGACTCAGTGGGCTGGGCCGGTCGTGACCCGACCCGAGTTTTGACCATGTCTAGAAGAAAGAGATGGAGTCCATAATAAAAAGTTCTGTTCTTGGATGAGCAATATGTATGTGGAGTCTAAATAGAATATGCAAAATAAATTAAGCTGCCAGGTAAGAGAAACCAATAAGAATTATAAAATTTAAACGGCTGTCAATATCATAATAACAAAAAATGGTCATTACAATAATCGAACAACATGAAAACAACTTTTCTATCACTAGAAAAAAAGAAAAAATCAATGTTGTAGTTAATTAATACCAACAACTAGAGGTTTTATGATCACAGCAAACTCCAAAACTACATATGCCTAATGAGTCTGTCACTCACAGCCCATCAGATGCCTTCACATATCATCCTAGTGTAAGATTTCAGATGGGAAGTTACAATATAACCACTTCAAATTTCCCATCACACATTAGTGAATCCAATATTTGATAACCATTAATAAATCCATCTGCAGACATTTATTATTTTTTTTTATCAAGAAACAATTTTAACCTTCATCATAGATCTTGATGAAGAAAACAAAAATATGCTAAGTGTTACACAAAAGATTTCTACAACATTTGACAACTAGTGTCGAACCATATGGTGGGTAGAATTGTCATATGCTTCGTACAAAACGATCCTCCGTTTGCTTGGCATCAATAAGCATTCAGAACTTCAAGTTGTCCTTCAGGTAACATACAATCTCTTGCTGCAAAAATATATAAACAATTTGTAAAAAAGTAGGTGTAACTCATTGAACAAATCTGAATACAACATTTTTCGAGCAAATTTCACTACTAAATTGCATTTAATTTGAAAATGGAAAGAGCACGAAAACAAAAACCCACTCCTTAAAAGGTTTTTAAGGTTACTACTTCAAAAGATTTGAGAATTTGAGATGACTTACAATCAAACAAAGGATAATGCACGCAGCCGTGCCCGGGAACAAAGCATACCAAAAGTTCAAATGATGAAGCTTAGCCCCATCAATAAATAGCAATGGCAAGCTTGCAGCTGCAAGTCATTTTAAACAATCAAAAATGTTTCTTTATGAAAAAAAAAAAAAAAAGAAAAAAAAAAGCATGTTTCGAATAGTTTTACCTGGTGGATGAACAGCACGTGCGAAAATCATAAAGGCTATGGCTGCAGAAAGAGCAAAACTCCTAGCTAGCCAGCTGGGACCCAATATCGAGAATGCCAAAACGCCTATTGCTGCACAACCGATTTGTGCCATAAACATATTGTATTTCTGTAAACACCAAATGAAAAAAATAAAATAAAATAAAATATGAATGTACTTCAATAGCTTGATTGGTAGTTTCAAGAAACTAGATTATAATACAAGAAATTGCATTTGGGTCTTGAATATGATGCTTATTCATCCAGCGTGCTTGCATTTACTTTTTCCTTCAGACAATAAAACAAGTGCAAAAGAATCGGAAAGTGTTTACGCATCTCGAGGATTCAAAAACTGCTCAAGACTCTTCATTTGTTACCAAAAAACTCGAGCAATAAAACTTATACAGCCAACATGAACTCTTTAAGATGGATACTAATGAATTAAGGCTATTCAATTAATGGAATGTTAGCAGCAAACGATACATGAAAAATTTAACGTACAACACGTGTCAAGCATGGTAGAATAATAATGTTGTACACCATGCAAACATTAGAGTATCGGGGACATTTTTTTTCTGCCCTTATTTCTCATAATTTAGCAAGGTATTAAGTGCTGTATCGCGTTTATTGCTTATGCTGCGAAATACAATAGCTACACTAATTTATGTTCAATAAATGAACCCAGATAATTATATATAAATACTCTTGTATTGAAAAGCAATCATTTTTATCTAATATTTCGACTTTAATAAGTTGCATTCACGACCGCTTACACTATTATGCATAACATCACAATGATGTACTGCAAAAACTAAAAAGCAACTATATGAGGTCGATTTTTCTATCAGCAATTGAACGTATCGACGAACAGAGATGGGCTCTATTGTAATTAGACTATACCTCAGGGGTAGTTTTCCTAATTATCCATAACAAAAGAAGAACAACCGAAAAAAGCTTACCCGAGCACCAGGAGATGATGGCGTAGTGAAGAGCACAGCACAAACGGCTCCCAAGGGTGCAATAGTCATTGAAATGCCTTTAGGAGCCAAAATTTGATCAATCTTTCCCAATATAGCCATTGCAGCAAAAGCCCCTGACACATTTTTCATTTGCATAAATAACATGCAAACTTGCAAAATCACAATCCAACCCCAAAATCTTCACACAACTCAATTCAACACTACTCAATGGCGAAAGATTGCAAGTTCAATCCTTGCAAAATTATGTTCCTTTCAGTTTATGCTGATCACAAGAGACATAATGTTTATTGAAGTGCCATTATTATCACCCTTCACAGCTGTAGAGTGTGATAGAAAAATATTTTAAACACACAATATGTTTGTAAAATAGGCAAAAGCAATAACTTTACATCTAAGCTAAATCTTGTTTCTATCAGTTTCAGCTGATGAGCTGATCACAAGCCACAATAGCCATCCCTTAGAAGTTAGAGCTGTAGAGTAAAAAAGTAAAAATGGAAACTCTACGGAAGCAAAACACTGTCATAAAATTGAAGAACAATACAATGTACAATCATATGAGCAAAGCAAAGCACAAAAAATATAACACAAAGAACAATAGTAAACAATAGAAACCAAGGGAGGCTAATAAAAAATGTTCAGAAACAAATCATTAGGAAAAAAACATATGCAAATAACAAAAAAGTTGATTTCTTGGTGGGTAAAACGAGTACTAACCAGCAGAAGGCCAGACAATATCGCTAAAGGAAGGACCTTTAGAGCTCTTTTCAGGTACCCAACTCTCCCAAAAAGGTGCACTCACTTTGCTTGACGAAACTATAAAGCGCACATTTTTCTGAAGCGCTTTTGATCTGATGGAGACCCTTCTGTCAAAATCGCATTTCCCATTGCTCGAGCTGCAACTGCAAGAAGATGAAGCATACAGCGATGGCGGACAAGCTTGCGGCCACATAACCGGTTCAAACCGGACAAGGAGGCGCAAACCCATGTCTTTTTTTTTCGAATTTTCTGGTTCTTGATCAAGAAATAAAAAACAAAAGCATATAAATATCTGGGATTTTTTTTGTTTACGAACGATGATAAAATAAATGGGGGAGTGAGAGCGACCGTTTGGGAGTGTGGAGAGGCGATGAGAGAGACAGAGTGGTCTCTAGGAGAGATCGAGAAGCCATTTGATTAATAAAGTTTTTGGATTTTGCTGTTCTCCTCAGATTTTTTATTTTATTTTATTTTATTTGTTTAATTTATGTAAGGCTCTATGTTCTGTGTTGGCTTGTATTCCAATAGCATAGTCCCATTTTCTTCACTCCTGATACCAATTTTATATAGTCACACTGACGAACACACACATGGCACCAAGAATGATTTGAGTTAGAAATCCATTAATTTTATCTCATGGGGCTAATTGTGGATAAATATGCATTGTGTGTTTTGATTAGAGATGTTGTTAAGAGCTGATGGGATATATAAGTTATTTTGGATTTGATTTGATTTATTGAATAACATGGGTTAATTTTTTTTTAAAAAAAAAGTTGATTGAATTTAGTTAAGTGGAATTTTGAGTTTTTATTTACATAATATTTAAAATATAAAAATTGATATGATGTATAAGTATGAGATAGGTGATTGATAATTAAATTTATGTGAGTGGATGAATAGTAAATTAAAATTGATGTGATGCATGAAGATAATTGATGAATATTAATTAATTATATTGATAAAATTGAAAAGAGTTTGATTGAGTTAAACTTTAGTTTAAAAAACTAAAATTTTAAAAAAAAAAAATATATATATATATATATATATGTTTTTTTTCTACAAATATATATACTTTTTATTTAATAATTCAATCCATATAAAAATATTGATATCTTAAGTCCTTGATTGGATACAAATTATTTGGTCAGGTTTGACCAGGTGAATTTTTTAACTTAAAATCTAACACAAATTTAACTCAAGCAAACTTTCATCAATATTAATACCAATCAATTATACTCACACATATATCAACTTTAACTCATTATTTGTTAATTCACATATTTTTTAACTATTAATCACTTTCAATTACCATTCTCCTACTTTCATTAAATTAACTTTAACCAATATATTTGGAATATTATTCTAAGATAAACTCAAAATTCCAGTCAAACCACACTCAATCATCTTTTTCAAAATTAACTCGATTATCTAACAAAATCGTCAAAACCAAAATAGTTTATATGCAATCACCCTTACTTTTGATGCAAGAAACATAGGAAAACCTATTGGATACCCAAAGGTGCTCAATCTAAAACTATCAAATACATGGACTCAATGTTCCATCCAAGTAGTTGAAATGGCTAGGAAATCCCAAATTCATTTTCGGCCCAAACAAGTAAATTACTATGTGATAGTAAGGAGAGTGTAAATTCCTCTTTTATAAAGGCGGAACCTAACAATGGTTGTGGCCCACAAACATAAGGCTGATTAGATGGACAATCCATTGGGCGTAACTCTTAATTTGTGATAAAATAAAATCAAATATCCCAGTTACTAACTTGGTTTTAAAATACACAACATGATGAATTTAAACTTTTGTTTTCCGTACAAAATCTTCACATAGATACCCCTGTGGCCTGCTCCACATAATCCCTCTCCCAATATCAGTGTAAAGTGGAATAAAAAATAAAATAAAGACAAATT